TAGGGTGGGAGGGTGGGGGGCTGTCCCTGGGCTCATGGAGCCGGCCGAGCTGGCAGGCGGCCGGGATCCCCCGGAGCCGGGCGGGCGTCCCGGGCCGGAGCCGCGGGGCTTCGTCCCGCAGAAGGAGATCGTCTACAACAAGCTGCTGCCCTACGCCGAGCGGCTGGACGCCGAGTCCGACTTGCAGCTGGCCCAGATCAAATGCAACCTGGGCCGGGCCGTGCAGCTCCAAGAGCTGTGGCCCGGGGGCCTCTTCTGGACCAGGAAACTCTCCACGTAAGTGTGCCCGGGCCTCAGGATGGGCCCGGGGCAGAGGCTCACAGGAGGACGTCGGGGGTGGGGGACGGCTCTTTGTCCCACTGGACCGCAGGACCCTTACCTCTGCCCCGGCTCGAGCCGGTGGTCCCCGTGCAGTCGTCTCAGGGTCACGGCAGAAGCCTTGGAAGCACTTAGACCTCCTCCCTGCCACTTTCCTACGGAACCTCCCTGGTCCTCACCAGCCCTCAGTGTCCTCCCCTGCTTTTTCTCCCCAAGGATTCAGGTTGTTTTCCGACCTGCGGGGCCCCCAGGGAAAGAGATGAGCGGTCCCCCAAGGGGGCTCCTTGGACCTTTGCCCGTGGGGGAGGGGAGGCACAGAGGATTCGTCTTTGAGGGGAGCAACTCTTGACTTGTGGTGCTTCCTCCGGTTCTTTCCTCCCCTACGGTCCCCGCCTCTTCCTATCCCGCAATTGGCCTCTGGTAACTTTCTGACTGGGAAAGAGGCCGTCGGGAACTTCTAGGTTCTGCTTTTTTGGGGCCTGCTCAGTCTTTGTGGATTTGATTGAAAAGATTGATTGATTTAAGATCCGACTTCAGCGCATTCTTGGACTGTTCACTAGACGTTAATGTTGAGAATGTTGAGTTTTAGAACCTCGGCAAAATGTATATTGCTCCTGTTGTGACATTTCGTTTGGAAACGTACAACGTTAAGGAAAAGAGGAGAGCTGTCAGGTTGTCCTGGGTGTTATTTGTATCGGGCTTGTGTTAATTTTTGAGTCGCTCAGATAAATATAGATTACGTAAATCAGTTTCAAGGATTCTATTTTTTTATTAGTTTTTTTTTTTGTATAAACCAGCTGCAAACTGTAGTGCCACTGAAATTAGGGGGAAAGGGCGAGTAAAAATACAGCTGGGTGGGAGGGAAGATTTTAGAGACTTTTTGCTAGGTGGGAATCTTCATTGTGTCAGAAGAACTTTTTTAAAAAAAGATTTTGTTGTATCTTGTATGGTTAACTGTACATAAAATCTGGTAACATTGTATGTTCATGCATGTGGGTATGGGTGGGTGAACACGTAAGACATAAGTCACTTATCCAGTGTTTACCCAAATCTGCTGAGTGAACTGGGTGATGACTCAGGGTTTTGTAACGCAATAGTCTTCTCCACATTTCCTCACAGGATGATTCTTATCTGCCGTTTATGAAGGAGTCTCTGACAGGTTTCTCATCTCCATTTGGTGGTGGTGGTGGGAATAATAATTGCTTTTTAATTAATAAAGCAGAACTAAAACACGTAATTTGCCCTTTTCAAAGAGTGACCATAAAATGTCAAGGTTAATGGCCATCTTGATTTGAGTGTATAGAAGTTTGTGGTGTTGGGATCCGGGATCCATAGGAGACTTGGGAAGAAAAGAAATGCAACAGGGATAAGAACCACTTTTAGTCAAAACAGAAAAATGTTTTATAAATGATTAAAATTCAAATGATTTTTTAAGTGAGCCTCCTAGGTGTGTTTGTGTTACTCGGGCACAGTAAAAATAAAATTACTTTGTCATTCCAGTAATTCCCCATTTTTATCACCTGGATTCGACTTGCTAGAGAATAACCATTTGGGGGGGACATAAGCAGTTCCTTTTAGATGCACAGTGTATAAATGTACCAGTGTGTGAATGCATATCTGGATTGGATTTAGGAATCTAGAGTCTACACAGGTATAGGTAAGCATTGTTTTCTGACGTATTTATTGTTACTTACTAAGTTTCGCGGAGTAGCACCTAGAGTTTTATTATTTTTGGTTTATTAGGTATAAGTAGTTTTTACCTAGAAAGGGCTAAAAATACAGTGGAGACGGTCTGTGGTGTTTAGGGCAAGACTGCAGTTATGTGGCTTAATAATCTAGGAATCCCAAACCATTTATATCTAAATAACCAGCAAGAAATGCTGTGAGATAGAATTTTATTTTGGAACAGTGGTTAAATGCTGCAGACTGATTCTTGGGATTGCGCTATGAGACATTTTGAACTTGGTGGGACATGTTGTGATCTTGGATGTATTTTTTCTCCTAAGTCATGTTAAGGTGACCTGTTTATAGATGTGCTTGTTTTTTAAGCCTTGTGTGTGGTTGCACAAGTTTACATCTAAATGATGCCAAAACATGTGATGATAGCTTTCAGTTACCTGAGTAGTGATCATATTTAGTACTTTGTAGAAGAATGGAAAGTAGTAATGAAAATCTAATTGCTGCCACTAGCTCTGTGACTGTGGGAAAGTTACTTTAATCGTGTATTTCAGAATTCTTGTGGGTGAAAGGATGGGGTTGGATTAAGTAATTCTTGAGAAACATTCCTGCTCTGATATTTTATGATTTTATTTTTTATCTTGTAGAGCCTCAAGCCAGTGTGTGTCTTTCTACAAGGATTGTTTGAGGACTTTGTAAAGTATTGGAAATTGTTGCATAAATCAAATACATTCCTAAAGAAGACCAGAGTGTAGATGCTATTTAGAGGCACTGGGACTGGATCCCCTAATCTGGGTGTCATGGGTCTGTGTATCGTCAAGTTCTAGTTTGGGAGGTACTCAGACGCCCCTTTTTTGAGTTTTATGTAATTTTAGTAGTTATTGTAATTCTGTTTCAATCCATTTCAAGACTTGCAGGTGTGTTTAGCATTTCTGTGAAGAAAGGTTAGTTCTTTGTATTTTAAAAATTGGCCCTGTGGTGTAATACAAGCTCTTTTGTACAGACAGTTTAAAGTATTAGGACTGCCTGTTCAAGAGAGATTGTGTGATGTAATACATCACAGGGCCAGTTTTTAAGAAGCAGGAAACAAATTAGAGAGGCAGCAACTAGTGGTCTCTGGAAAACAGCAGTCAAGACAGCGCATGGACACTAAGTGGAAGGTATTAGTCCATAACTGGGTGGCCTATGTAGAGAATGAAGGGAGTTGAAGAAAGGTAATCCTGAAACTTGCTTTTTCTCCCTTGCCCTTCTGGGCCTTTCATAAGAGATAAGAGGCAGTGAGTGAGGTGTAATCCGAAGACCTCAGTTTATCTGTACCTGGTTTTGCTGCCGACGTTATCATCGTGGTCTTGCTTAATCTCTTTTAGCTTTAGAATCCTCTTTCGGAAAGTGGGAATGTAGACTATTAATGGTTTTTCAAACTTAAAATTTAGCGGTGGACTGTTTTATGAAAGCAAAATCTTAAACACAAAATTGGACTCTTCAGGCCGACTAAAACCACGCTGATTTTTTTCTCTTTAACACTTCATTGATAATAGAACGCCTGAAATCTGCTCAGGGCTCCAGAACATGGTTTGAAAAATCGCTGCTCTAGTCTCTCTGGGCTTTTATGGCTCTGTGTTCCTTTAAATTGGTCTGGGGGAAGGGGAAAAGGACGGAGAACAAGTGAATGGGCTACTATTTCCTGCAAGCTTACCCCATCCCTGATCATCTTTCGTTTTTTGTTTTTTTTTTAACAAAATTTTGATTTTAGTGAAGTATGTGGGCTTGGTGTATTATGAAGGAAATTTAGATGCCTTGTTTGTTACAAGGAAATGTTCTATTCTGTGCTGTTTTATAATGAAATGACTGTTATTACAGTGAGGCATCATTTCATTTGCTAATTGAACTGTAGCTCCTTTGTTTAATTATTATTAACATTGTGTGTCCTTCCTGGATATGAATTGCATTATCCCAGTTGAAACCACATAACGTATTTAATTGGATTATGTAACCACTGGAAACTTAAGTTTAGTCAAGATAGGAGTTATCAAATACAGTGACCTCCTCTTGTGGAAAGTAACAATGTGACCACTAGAGCACCCAAATTCTTATCGTCTCTGTGTTGAGAAGGAAAGCAGAAAATGCTCGCCACTGAATCTCAGTTATCTATTAACATGATGTACTTAATAGAGTATTTAATGTTTGAGTATTGAAATTGTGAAGTTCACAATAAATACAAGTGCTTTTTATTTGTAAAAGAATCTTAAAATCTTGACAAATTACTACATTCATCAGTGAGAACCATTTAGAGAAAGTAGTAGAAAAGGTTTGTCTTCGTTATTAAGTGACCACAGTCAAAATGGGAGAAATTTCTTGTGGTGAGAAAGTTAACTTTTCATTGAAAAAACAAAATGAATGAAGTAAGTGATTTTGGAGACATGAATTTTCCTAAGTTGTGTAATAGCATAATGAGCTATCCTTCACGTTTGATTTTTTTTTTTTAATTAAACTTGACTTTTTAGGGCAGTTTTAGGTTCAGAGCAAAATTGAGCAGAAAGTACAGAGTTCCCATATACCTCCTGTCCCCACAGATGTACCCATTTCAGTTTTCATAGCCATGTCAAACATTTTAAAAAATATTTGAGGCCTTCCCATTTTCCAGGGACATCTCTTTTTTTTTTTTTTTTTTTTTTTGTTCTGCAATTTTTATTTTTTTTTATTATTTTTTTTTTTTTAATTTTTTGTTTATTGCAGTAACATTGGTTTATAACATTGTAAAAATTTCAGGTGTACATCATTGTACTTCTATTTCTGCATGGACTACATCATGTTCACCACCAAAATACTAATTACAACCCATCACCACACACATGTACCGAATTATCCCTTTCACCCTCCTCCCTCCCCCCTTCCCCTCTGGTAACCACCAATCCAATCTCTGTCCCTATGTGTTTGTTTATTGTTGTTATCCAGGGACATCTCTTAATCATTCTTTTAAAACACCTACTCAGTTTTCTCCTCACTAGTTAACTGGGTGTTTCTGCCTAAATCTCATTAGTCAATAAATGTGATTTGAACAGTTGTCTAGTATTTTTTATTTGTTTTGCTTTAAATATTTTTTTATTATGGAAAATATCAAACATATACAAAGTAAAAAAGTATAATGAACTCCATGTACCCATCACCCATCTTCAACAATTATCAACTCCTGGCTAATCATGTTCCTTCCACCATCACCACCCCTATTATAGTTGAAGCACATTACTTCATTCATAAGTCTTTCCAGTGTTTATCTCTAA